ATCGATTGGGGTCCGGATGGGGCCCGGTCCATCGATTCGGATCCGAATGGGGCTGGATTCGGATGGGTCCGGTCGATCGATTTGGGTCCGGATGGGGTCCGGTCGATCGATTCGGATCCGGATGGGGCCCGGTCGATCGAAATCGGATCCGGATGGGGCTGGATTCGGATGGGTCCGGTCGATCGATTCGGGTCCGGATGGGGTCCGGTCGATCGATGGGGGTCCGGATGGGGCCCGGTCGATCGAAATCGGATCCGGATGGGGCTGGATTCGGATGGGTCCGGTCGGTCGATTTGGGTCCGAATGGGGCCCGGTCGATCCATCCGGATCCGGATGGGGCTGGATTTGGATGGGTCCGGACGATCGGCCCGGGTCCGGATGGGGTCCGATCGATCGATTCGGATCCGGATGCGGTCGGATTCGGATGGGTTCGATCGATCGACCCGCATGGGTCCGGTCGATCGATTGGGGTCCGGATGGGGCCCGGTCCATCGATTCGGATCCGAATGGGGCTGGATTCGGATGGGTCCGGTCGATCGATTTGGGTCCGGATGGGGTCCGGTCGATCGATTCGGATCCGGATGGGGCCCGGTCGATCGAAATCGGATCCGGATGGGGCTGGATTCGGATGGGTCCGGTCGATCGATTCGGGTCCGAATGGGGCCCGGTCGATCGACCCGGATCCGGATGGGGCTGGATTCGGATGGGTCCGGACGATCGGCCCGGGTCCGGATGGGGTCCGGTCGATCGATTCGGTTCCGGATGGGGCTGGATTCGGATGGGTTCGACCCATCGATCCGGATGGGGTCGATCGATGGATCCGGATGGTTTCGTTGGTTCGATCCGGATGGGTTGGATCGATGGATCCGGATGGGTTCGGTCAGTCGACCCGGATGGGTTCGATGGTCGGATCCGGACGGGTTCGATCGATGGATCCGGATGGGTTCGATCGGGCGAACCCGATGGGCTTGCCCTTGGGTGCTCGCCTTGCCTTGTACTGGGTTGTGCGGTGCCCTGGGGGAAAAAAAGGCATCCGATCCATCCGGTCATATCCGGATGCTCGTTGGCTCTAGGGTGGTGTGGTGCCTCGAAAGGGCTCGCACCCGCCCTAGAGCCCTTTTTGCCCGGTTGGAAATCGACTACACCGGAAGGGCTTGTGGGCTCTAGGGCGGTGCCGTGCCTCGAAAGGGCTCGCACCCGCCCTAGAGCCCTTTTTGCCCGGTTGGAAATCGACTACACCGGAAGGGCTTGTGGCTCTAGGGCGGTGTCGTGCCTCGAAAGGGCTCACACCCGCCCTGGAGCCCTTTTTGCCCGGTTGGAAATCGACTAACACCGGAAGGGCTTGTGGGCTCTAGGGCGGTGTCGTGCCTCGAAAGGGCTCCCACCCGCCCTGGAGCCCTTTTTGCCCGGTTGGAAATCGACTACACCGGAAGGGCTTGTGGGCTCTAGGGCGGTGTCGTGCCTCGAAAGGGCTCACACCCCGCCTAGAGCCCTTTTTCCCGGTTGGAAACGACTGCACCGGAAGGGCTTGT